GGGGGGGGGGGGAGTCTTCATTTGAAACACTTACCATTTAGAACCCAGTCTCGTTCTTGTTGACTCTTATCACCATGGATACCCATGGCAGGCCACCTAAATTAAAGTTAAGTTGTATTAGATCACATTTAAAAGCTGATACTGATAGTAGATTCTGGCCTAGCACATTACCATTTTTGGTCACAGATCTATTTTAGCTCATCGGAAATACACTTGTCCTACAGTAACAGGTTAAGTCTATCCATAAAACTCAAACTCATTACTCCTAAATTTCACCCTTCCTCTACTAATCAGCTTTACTAAAGGAAGCCCACATACCCATCTCGCCTCATTTTTCTGGTAAGTTCATCACATCTTCTTTTGGTTTCAACAAAAACAATAGTTTTATTCTCCTTCTCACTCATAATCTCTTCCATGAGCCGAATAAGCCTATGAAAAAGGGAAAAAATGAATATAAGTAAGTTCATGGTCCAAATCTGTTCAATGAAACAAATTCTTTTTCACTGCCTGTAAGTCGAAGAGGAAACACCTGCTTAACCACTTAGGAAGCAACTGTATTCTTGATCCTTAAGTAAACTCACAGGATGGAGAGTTCCTGCTCCTATAGGAGTATTAGAGTACTGGTAACCATAATTGGGGAAAGAGATGTGATTCAGCTGTTTCACTTTTGGAAACAGATGGCTTTGTTTTTTCTTTCTCAGAATATTTGAGGGTTAAGTAATGGATTCAGAAGAAAAGCTAGAGGAATTTTAAATATACATGTTCAGATTCCACCCAAATGCCAAGCACCTTTAAGAAGCTTACCCATTTTGGAACAGTGATTCCATTTATATAAACAAAACTGTTTTTGAAATTAGTAAAACTTACAGAACACTTACTTTTCATCCTTCTCCACATCATGACACACATCAACAATCTGAAGAATGTTGTGGTTTGCGCTCAGTTCTAGTGCACCAATATTTATGTGAATGTAATCTTTCAGGAAGTCTTCAGCAAGCTGTCTTACTTCTTTCGGCCAAGTTGCGCTCCACATTAGGGTCTGCCTATCAGGCTAAAGGAAAGAAATATTTTTTGGGGAAATTAGCACAGAACTGACTAAGAATGAATTCAAGAGTTAAGTGTGAAAAAAACAACATGTTTAAGGGCACTCACTCTTATCTGATCCACAATCTTCCGTATTTGGGGTTCGAAGCCCATATCAAGCATTCTATCTGCTTCATCAAGGACAAGGTAGGTTGTTCTTCTCAGATTGGTTTTCCCACATTCTAAAAAGTCAATCAGTCTTCCAGGTGTCGCAATACAGATTTCTACACCTTCAATTAAATACATCAATGTAACCATAGCATCTAGAATTCTTAGCACCCTTTGGTGACAAATAAAAGCTTTTCTACTACACACCTCTCTCCAAATCACGTATTTGTGGTCCCTTGGGAGCACCACCATAGATGCAAGTAGACTTCAAACGACATGCTCTACAATATTCAGCAGCTACTTGCTGCACCTGTTGGGCCAGTTCCCGAGTTGGCGCCAGCACCAAGCACTGTAGAAAGCACAATAGCTTTTAGCACAGACCTGGATCCTTGTCTTAAATTGGGAATTTGTTTTGCTAGGCATTCTACAAATCTCTACACATACTTATCAAAAATTAGGGAAACATATACTTACAATAGGCCCATCACCTCTCTCTAGGAATGGCTGATGATTGATGTGGACAATGGCTGGCAGCAAATACTGTTGAGGGATTGGGGGGGGGAGACACGCGAGGTTGGGGAAGAGAGAAACATATTAATTATTAATTCCAAATCCATTTTTTTTAAGCATATACAATAGAGTACTCAAAAGTGGTCTCAGACTTACAGACAATGTTTTCCCGGATCCAGTCTGTGCTACTCCAACCATATCCAACCCACTTAAAGCAACTGGCCATCCCTGAGCTTGAATAGCAGTAGGTTCAGTAAAGTTCTGTCTTGCAATCACATCCATGACATTTGCTGTAATTAATGACAGCAATGTAACAAAATTTAGTAATACAAAGAGAAAGGAAGGAAATAAAAGTGGAATTCAAAACTAGCACTTACCAGGGAAGTTTGCTTCATAAAAATTTAAAACTGGCTTTGGGCAGTTGTGACCTCTAACCGTAATTTCCTTGCTTCTTCTGTATGTCTCCACATCTTGCTGTAATAACAATTACAATAATCTTGTAAGTGTCATGACAAACTCCCCTAACTAAGTATGTAACTGATAGGCTTGGAACTCATCATATACTAGCTTCTTTAAAGCAGTCTTGGTTTCAAAGACTAGCTTCCTATATGAAAACCCCATAAAACACAAGCACCACTCATTACTTACCCTCAAATATTCTGAGAAAAAAAAACACAAAGCCATCTGTTTCCAAAAGTGAAACAGCTGAATCACACCTCTTTTCCAATTATGAAGCCAGGTAATTTTCAGACATACTTGTAGTTAGATTTTGATTTACTAAAAACCATGATTGGGTTACAGCCAGAAAAAGGCACGACAACAACATACTCACCGCTGTGCGCCTAGCCAAATCAGGGTGTTCTTGATAAAAATTCTTCTCAAATTTAGGCAGCTCATCAAGATTCCACTTCTTTTTAACTAGTTTCTCCCCAGGGTTTCCAAACTTCTTTCCAGAGAGGGGGCCTGCCCTACTTCCTCCAAATCGAGGCGCCCCAAACCTGAAATTAAAAGTAATTCGTATTTCCAAACCTCTATGCTATGGGCTGACACACACTTATTTACCCTCCCTTGGCACCCGCTGCAAATCATTCAAATCAGACTTCCAATCAAAAACAATCTCCCAGAGAAAGAAAACCTAGAACCACAGTTAGTAGTCCTTCAACAGTCTAAACGATTAGCATCTTGTATCTCAGTTCCCGTCGTTCTAAAGGCACACGATTAAGGCCAGGTTAAGCAGCCGGGATTTATCCTGCGGAAACTGGCTGCCCAAACGCCAAGTTCAGATTACAAGGACAGACAATAGCTGGTGCCTATTGTCTTTCCTACGAGCTCAAGAATTAAGTATCTAGGAGACGAAAAATACAAAAAGGGAGGAGCCTAGCAGCGATATTATTTATACAGCTATTTTTAAGCAAAGGAGCTTCGGTTTGAAGGATAACGGGACCACATACTAAAGGCAGAACAACGGGGTGGCCTTGGGGACACTTATACAAGGAAACCGAGCGAACTGGGGGATAGATCTCGCCTAAGAGCTCTACCACAGTAACAAAATTATATAATGCTAGCAAAACGAGGAGGAGGAGGAGCCGGAGACTACCGGGGGAGGAGTCCCGGCCCGGGCGGAGTCGCTCGGGCGGCGTTCCCGCTGGGGCGGCGCTTCCCCCTTTGTCTCGCATTTCTCTCTGCGCCACATTTTCTCGACGCTGCCATTTTGAGCTCCTCCGCCGGGCGGGGTAACAAAGGCGCCGCCGCCATGTCCGAGGCCGGCATTTTGTACCCACGGCTCAGCCACATGGCCGAACCCATCGGCGTCTTCCACCCTCCTAACCCCACAGCCTCAATGGCGTCGGAAGCGGACTCCCACAGAACTCCCGGGCCGCTATAACACCTCTCGAAAGGCTGCATCTAACCGCGGCTACTTCTTCCGCTTCCAAGCGTGCTGTTTTCTTCTCCTTCGCTAATATACTCCTCCGAATTCTCCCCACAGCTGGTAAATTGTCGAGGGCCCGACGCTCCCGCCCCCGGGGGGGCGGCGCGAACTTAAGGGCCGTCGAGACAAATCACCTCTATCCAGTTTTAGAAAAATATCAAAATGGCGTAAACCTGCAACTAATGAAGCCGAAAGATAGCCTAAAAGAACACCAACGTTCCCGCTGTGGCGTCCCCGCCACCCCCACCACCCTCTTTTACTCCCCCATCCCCCACCCGCCTGGGCCTGACAGATTGGTTCCCACACTCACCCTCGATCCCGGCCGCGGTCTCGGTCACTGGAATAACTCGACATGGCGTCAATGGTTGCGGTTGGTGGGGTACGAAGTGAAGAGAATCGGATGCCAAGAGTCGCTAAGGGTGGCGACGGCGAAGCTTTGCGGGGGCGGCAGCAGCGGAGAGCCGGCGATGACTAGGACCAGAGCTGAACAATCAAAGGCCGATGGAAATGAATGAGGTGCCGGCCGCTTCCCGGCAGCCGGTTTTATAGTCTGGACCGCCTCCTACGCCGCAAAGGATGCTGGGAACCGCTCTATGACCTAATCACTCCGCCCCCTGCGCAGAAGCCGCAACGCCCGCCTGCGTTCGGGAATCCGCCATGTTTTCGCCCCCTCCCCCAAGTCCTTCCCTCGGGGCCATCCGTTTTTCTCCCTTTTCATCTCTGGACCTATGCACCACCGCAATGCCCCAGACTGTTCACCTTTTTCTCGTTTTTATACACTTTAAGCAACCCACCCTAACAATTTCCAGGTCCAGCCTAGAAAATCAAGCGGCCACTACCAACCTGCCCACTCTCCTCACTCGGAGATGTTTACATCTAAAAGCCTACACGCCCATAACCAAGTGACCCGGGAAGGCGGAGCTTGGTGTTGTCACGTGACTATCTCCCCCGCCCACCGGGTGGGTAGGTCGCACTACTTCCGAGTTGGCTTCGGCGGAGGAATACACAACTAAATAGCTCAACGGAAGTTCTAGTCTATTGCCCCTAGAAGACCAGTCAAGGGGGGTGGGTGCCCTGAACTGTGAAGTCCACCGACCTGAGAACCTCTTCGCGGGATCTTGTCAGAGGAGATTGTTATCTAGATCCCGCAAACCGCCGCGGAGGCGCGTGCTATGAAAGGAAGTGCTCCTCTGCTGACCAATCAGCGGCGAGAGGCCGTTTTAACGTCCCTCCCTCTTTTACCCCTCCTTCTCCGCACTTTACTTTCGTCTTTCCTCTTCTCACAGCTAGGTGCAGCCTGTGCGGCCCTTCCAGGACACCGTCCCCCGCGCATAAGGCTGAGAGCTCGGCAGCGGCCTGCCTCCTCAACATGGCCGACACCGAGGCGGGTGAGTCTCCGCCTGGCTCCCTGCTGTGTGTGAAGTGAAGCCGTCAGACTTCCCGAAAGCCTTGTCCACTTTATTTTGAGGTCTGGGCCAGGCTGAACCCGGGTCTAGGCTGCCTGCGAGACTCTTGTCACATACCCCCGTCGCAGTCCGCGGTCTCCATAGATGTGGTTTAAGCCCGGTTTTCCGCTACGTGGCTGTCAAGCAGCGGGGAGAGAATGGCCCCTCAGCACGGCCGTCAGCAAACCCGCATCCAGATTGCGAAAAGAGCAGTCAGAAAGGATCGACCCCGGACTTGTAGTTCTCTGAAGTATCTGGTCACTGTCGATGTGTTTTCTACCCTTGCATTGTCGGGACTGAGGCCGTACCTGCATTTGTATTGAACTTTTGAGGAGTAGCACTCTTTGAGATCTGTCACGACGCGTCAATATAGAATAGTGGTGGTTCCCCCCCCCCCCTTTAGTGCCCTCTAGAGTTGGTTACCGGCTGGCACGGGCTTTTGGAAGGCGAGTTGATTTGGTTGTCTAGGACGCTTTGAGCCTTTTATCCCTAACGGCGTACGAACGAATTGTCATGGTTTTGTCAACCGTGAGAAACGGGGACAGGACATAGTGTACTTTGATAGAAATTTCTATCCCCCGCATAATGCTCATATGTTTCCAGAACACAATGAAGATGTGTCTAATTCTGAATACTGGTTTCCACACGATCGCTTATCGTTTTAGGGAACAAGTGTTTCCAGCCTTCTAACTTTGCTAATCTCGGCATTATTTTAGGGACGAGTAATTAGGGGGAAGGAGTAGTACACAGAGAACTTCGCCTGTATTGTAATGTGTTCGTTCTAAGGTTAGGTGGTGGATGCAGGAGTGTTTTTATGTAGTTCCCACATTTTTTTTTCAAATACATCAAATATAATAATTTTTAAAAACCCCACAAAATGGAGTAGTGTTCAACAGCTTAGGTTAATCACCACCTATTTGGGCACCAGAGAAATACTGCTTTGCACAAGAGAATTGAGTGAAAACACGTTTGGTACTATTGAGAATTTGAAGCTACATCCATTAATTAGTTTCTATGACATAATCTCATTTACTTGTAAATATGCTTGAACTGAAAACATTTCTGTAATACTTCTAAAATAAAAACTACAAGTGAATAACTAGGATTTTAGGTTGCAACAGTAAAAATCAGATTTGCATCATAGTATTGAGTACACTGAAATTACAGCTCTCTGAAAGTCACCCCCCAAATTAAACATTTCTTTAAAAATGCCTAAGAGGGTCTTTGAAATTCTTTAACTGTCAAGTTCCTTATTTTCTACAGAGTTCTTCAGTGTCTGTTTTGGTGGGGGCTGGTTGGTTTTTAAACGTATGTGTATGACTTGTCCTAATGCTATATCACGTTGATCTTTTCCCCTCCTTTCCCAACAGAGTGGGTAACCATTGCCAATAACCTTCTTTCGAAATGTCACATACACCTGAGGATACATGCACTTGAAGATTGTGATGCTAATGTTTTTATTGCTCTTTATCAGTCAATTTTAGGAGAAAGGGTACCAGGTAAGGATACTAAAGACAGGAATAATTGTTTGGGCCAGAAGTTTCTAGTGCCTCTAGTTAAGTCTTTTGGTAATTATAAAATCTTGTGTTTCTCTTTGTTTGCATCTTATTTCTATCTTGATATTGCTTCCATTACCTTATGGGACCCACTCACAATAATAATAGCCCTGAGCAAATCAGTTTGACTCTTCCTGATAATCACTGTTTAATCTAATTATGCCCAATGCCTTGTGAAAGCCACACCCTCTCTGAAAGTATACCTTCAAATGTCCTAAATTTGTTGGGTCCTGTTACATAACTAGCATTACAGGTGAGAATTGATGTTTGTATTTTATGAACCTGATTCACCAAGAATATAATTAATAAATTTATACGGCCTGTCATCATGAAAGTTGTGGTTTGCTCATTTCTTCTAGGGGTACCACATCATTTTTGCTATATCCCAGGTTAAATTTCTCAGGACCCTTATCCACAGTTTCCTCTACTGCCTCTATCTCTTTAGATTAGGACTAACCACTAAGATGCTAAGAACTGTATAGTGTCTTCCTTTCCCACTGTTACCATGAGTTGGTGCCCTCATTCACTTCCTGGATTAATGGGATAGCCTCTAGCTAGTATCTCTGATACTAGTCTCAAACTGTCTTTAATTCTCTGTGGCATATAGTTATTAGACTAGTCTTTTAAAATGCTTTTTCCATGCTGCCCCAAAACATTCATCTTTCTCAATACCAGAGATGAGACTCCAAACTTAACTTGGTATTAAAATCCTCCCACAAAAGGGAGAGGAGGAAACATTGCAAAAATAAAAATTTCCCACACTCTTTATACTGTAATTTCCAATAAGCTCTTTTAAAGGACATATAAGACTCCTGCATTCATACCTGCTACTCTGGTTGGGTTTTTTTTTTTTTTTTTTCCTCATGTTGCTCTGGGAAAACAGCTACCATTAGAGGTTAAAGACTCACCTCATGTCTTGCTCCCTTATCAGGGTATTAGCAGCTCCTTGAATTTAGGGACCCCTTTATCCTTTGTAAGGTCCCTGGATGGCAAAAACAGTTTGCTCTCATTACTAATCTGAAGGCTGGTGGTTGGAACCCACCAGAAGCACCATGGAAGAAAGGCCTGGTGATCTACTTCCAAAAAGAGTACAGCCAAGGAAACCCTACGGAGTAGTTCTACTCTGTGTCACATGGGGTCGCAGTGAGTTTGAATGGACAACAGTGGATCTGATGTTGGTTGGTTGGTTGGTTTTTATTTTCCATTAAGGTCCCTGGGTGGTACGGTTTGCACTCAACTACTAACTTGAGGGTTGGTGGTTTGAACCCACCCACTAGCACCACAGGAGTAAGGCCTGATGATCTACCTCTGTAAGGTTACAGCCATTGAAAACCCTGTGGAGCACAGTTCTGTTCTGAAGCACTTGGGGTCACCATGAGTCAGAATCAACTTGACAGCAAGTTCATTTGCTTTTTATCTTCTTTCATCATGGTGTACATACATATGGTGGTTGAATACATGAACACTTTACTTTGTAGAATTCAGGCTCTGTGACCTCTATCTGGATTTTATAACCTGTTCTGTTTGGGCAGTCTACTTTTGTAGTAGTTGAGTTTACTCAGAATCCTGGTTAGACACAGATAAAAACTTGGACCTTTATAGGTGCAAAACTTACGTAACTCTTTTTCTACAGATCTAATAGTTATTCCAAGGAGTCAGGAGGATGATGCACACAATGTCCAAGCAGTAATCGATTCACTGGCCTTAGATTACCTGCAGGTCAGCTTGTCTCACATAACAGGTTAGTACATACTGGACTCTCAGATAGTTAAGCATTTTATTAAAATAATTCATTAGAACCCTTGCCTTTTTTTTTTTTTTT